AGTTTCGCTTTGAGGTGCGACGGAAGGGTAACCTTTCGTCCACCAAAATGATCCAACAGCAGGAGACAATGTTCGTCCTGACTGTAGCACTCCTTTACATCGGAGGCCATTGAGCTCGTCACATGGTAGGCCTTCATGGCTGCCAATGTTGACGACTCACCTTGTGCTTTCGCACGAGACACACTTTCCTGGTGTCTTGCCTCGAAGTCTGGTCTGCGCGATAACGCGTCAGCCAAGAAATTCGACTTACCCGGCTTATATTCAACTTTGAAATTAAATTCAGAGAAGAATGTTAGCCATCTCGCCATTCTCGGCGAGAGGTGCGGTGAATTTACAGCGGTTCGCATTGATGCGTGATCCGTATAAACCACAAAAAGGTTCGGTGCCCAAGGGTTGCACCCGAAACTTTACAAGGGCATACTTAATTGAAAGTAGCTCCTTGTCATGCACAGGGTAATTTTCAGCTCTGCGGCTTTTTGAAAGCCGAGACTGATACGAAATGACATGGTCAACGCCGTTGTCATCCTTCTGCATGAACGCGCTGCCGATTGCAATTTTGCTTGCATCGCAGACGACGCTAAAGGGCTTATCCGCGTCTGTCAGTGCCAAGAAAGGTGCCTCTACAAGAGATTTCTTCACTAAAGTGAACGCATCTTCTTGCTTCTTTGACCAAGTCCATGCTGCATCCTTTTTCGAAAGGTCAGACAATGGCTTAGTCTGCTCCGCATAATACTTTCTGTACTTATGCAAGTAATTAGCAAGCCCAAGGAATTGGCGTAGATCCTTCACAGGACGTGGGACTGGACATTCCTTTACCGCCTTTACCTTTTCTGGGTCTGCTCGTACACCATGTGCACCTACGATGCAGCCCAGTACAGGTATCTCGGGGACCCCTATTACGAACTTTTGCAAGTTAAAGTATAATTGGGCGCCACCCAGAGTCTGCAACACAGCGTCTCTCTCTAAATGACGCTTGTGCGACTCTATCGCGCTCAGACCTTCCTCCGCCCTACTATGCACGAATACATCGTCAAAGTAATGGGACGCGTAGGCACAGTGCTGACGCATCACGCGAGCTACCAATCGGTTGAATGTTGCCGGAGCATTTTTCAACCCTTGTGGCATCACAAGCCACTCCCACAGCACACCTCTTAGGTTGCTTACTGCCGTTTTGGCTACATCGGTATCTCGCATGAGAACCTGATAGTAGCCATCCTTCAGATCCAACGCGGAAAAGATAGTTGACTTTCCCATGGAGTTCAACATGACATCTTTTCGCAAGATCGGCGTTTGAGCCGGAATGGTGGCCGTGTTCAGCTTATTATAAGCATGAACCACGCGCCATCCACCTGTTGCTTTACGCACAAAGAAGGTCGGGCTGCAGTGAGGCAACTTGCTCTCACGTACATGTCCCGCTTTGGCTCGCTTGCCGAAGAACTCATCGATATAATGGACTTGTTCCTTTGGCAACGGCCATTGCATGTTCACACAATACTTGGTGCCAGGTTCCAGGTCAATCTCGTGCCTGATGCCCCTATCGGCCGGTAGGCGGCTCGGCACTTCTGCTGGAAACACATCACGGTAATTCCACAGAACATCGAAGACCGGACTGTCCTTTAAGGCTTCCAGCCTTGAGAAGCGTTTTTTGTCGGTTTACAAGACGCTCTCGTCCATTGTGGACGACGAGCAACAGTTCACCACGTTCTCTTCTGGAACTGGTGCGACTATCTCGTGGATCTTTCCTTCCTTTAGTTCGGACAGGAACTGATCCCACGTCATCTCGCGAGAGATTTACTATCTCCTCGGCAGATGCCAAGACAAGTTGGAGCACCTCAACTGTGGATGTCTCCGGCATCTTGTATTCGACGACCTCGAACAATTCGTTCATAGGTCCGTCCTCTTGGACCGAGACTGATCCTAGGGTCACTCGTTTCGACGTGCGCTTGATCGTCTTAATACGTCTGGTTCTCGTTGTTCGAGTCACCATGACCTTTGACCTGGAAGAAGGTGTTGTTGCTGTATTAGCTAACGCACTCCTTCCAATCGCACCAGGCTCATGGCTCTGTGCCGGTTCTTGTGGCGCTTGACTTCTTGTCATCCCACTATCCACTACCACAGGCTCTTGGCTCTGTGCAGGACTATTGGACGCATGACTACTTGTTCTCATCCCATTCACTACACCAGTCTCCTCGAAATGGGTAGACATTTGTGTCACGTGACTTTCTGTCAGGACACTTTTAACTACTCCAGGCTTCACGAGCTGGGTGGTTCCTGGTGCCGATTGACAAACCCTCGACTGTGTGTTGGACACAGCATCAATCGCATAAACCTCTCGCAAGAGCACATCCTTCCCGGTGTCTTGCGTAGAGCTAGCGACTGTGCGTGTACGCCAGTCTATCCATGGTTGGTGTTTATCCAACCAAGGCATGCCTAGTATGAGGTCATACGGACTCTCCATACCTAGCACAGTGAGCTTATCCTTGCAAAAGAAGTCACTGAAACTGAAGGCGAGTTCAATTTAAACTCCCTCCGATTTAAAGAGCGCGCCGTTCGCTAAAGAACGATCGCCTCTTCTCGCTTGTTGTCCTGGAAAAGCAACTTATAACTCGCCGGTCTCTTTTTCAGAGTCGCGAGTTTCACAAAGTTTTGTGATGCACCCGAATCTACGAGAAGGGTCATCACTTGGTCATAGCCTCGTACACGAGCGCTATAGACCAAAAGAGCTGAGGTCCGATCTTTCGGTACCTCAGGGACTATGCTACCCATTTTTTTTTGATAACTCTGAACATAGGGGTAGCTTCAGAGTCCTCGACAGTAGGGTATCCCGCCCCTACTGCGCTCCCGCATTTCCCGACCCATCATTGGCAGGTGCTGAACCCGTGCGTCGTGCCCGCTGATTCTGCGCACCTCCCTTCGGGCAGGGAGCCTTCTTGCTGGCTGCCTTAGCACCATCAGCAAGTTTGGCATAGCAGCGAGCCATCATATGGTCGCGTTTGCCGCATTGTAGCAGAACACGTCTGCATTGCCTAACTCCATTGGGGTGGCATCTGACCTCTCGGCCGACGGCTTATAGAAGGCTGTCACCGAGGCACTGATGTAGGATTGCTCCTCAACCATGACAATTTCAATCGCCTCCTCCATCGTCGTTGGCACCTTTCGAAAAAGGGCCTGACGCGATGGGCCGCGCCGTAGTTCGTTCATGAACGTAGGCACCTTAACGCGTTCCGGTATCGGACCTACATTAATGAAAGCCGACATCGATCGCATCTACTGCACATACTCTTGCAGAGAGCGTTTCACCTGTCGTGCTCCAAAGAAGCGCGCCTGAAGTAACGCTCCATTGTTAGGCGGCTGATACATGGCGCGAATCTTTGACTTTAAAATGCCCCATGATGGAAACGCATCAGTGTTTGCCATCAGCGCAGAGTAAGCCCACTCTGAAACTTTGCCATGCAAATTTGATATGGCAAGAACAATGCAAGAGGTTGGCCAGGGCTTGTTCACCAAGTCCCTGCACCAAGTGCTCTGCCAACTTCCTATGGTGTTGGTTTTATGTGAGATAAAGTACCCCAATCCACGTTAAAAGACATCCGTATCCACACGCACGCTCAGAGAGACGGGTCGTGCGAAGGACTACTAGTGCTACCAAGCGTAGACGGGCACTTCGAAAAGAAGCTGCCACGTATTACGCGGGCACACACTTTCAAGCAGCGTGAGGAAGCTTTTAGACCGTCTTACCCCCCGCGTGCGGTGGTGGTGGTCGGCGCTTAAGCACTATACCAGCCGTTGCCGGTCGCTTTTATGCGAACCGCGCAACAAACAATTAAGGGGTACCTCACTTACGACACGCTAAAGCTTATACAGCTTCTCGTGCGCAGTGTGCAATGTTTAGTAGATTCAATACTGATTTATATATAATTTAATAAACTAAATATAAAATTAACTACTGACTGGTTAATTATGCAAAGATATAATACGCGTCTTTTTAAAAACGTATCGTTACGTGCTAGCTTAAAAATATTTTTAAGCTCGCTGGTGACGTCCGTCTGTGACGTCATCATGACGCCTATTCCCAACTGGGCGTCATCCCCGTTGAGTGTGAGCTCATCCATGAATATCACATTCACGAGGGTGGGTCACATTAATGTGCGTCTCGTTAGGAGAGTATCCCTACGTGCGACCTTAAAACATATTTAAGCTCGCTAGTGACGTCCGTCTGTGACGTCATCATGACGCCTATTCCCAACTGGGCGTCATCCCTGTTGAGTGTGAGCCCATCCATAGATATCACATTCACGAGGGTGGGTCACATTAATGTGCGTCTTTTTAGGAGCGTATCCCTACGTGCGACCTTAAAACATATTTAAGCTCGCTAGTGACGTCCGTCTGTGACGTCATCATGACGCCTATTCCCAACTGGGCGTCATCCCTGTTGAGTGTGAGCTCATCCATGAATATCACATTCAAGAAGATGTGCCACATTGATGGGCCACACCCAAATGGCAGGCCTAAGATACCTCGTGCCCATTAAGGCCTTCCCGTGAAGTATCGAATACTTAACGAACCGTGTAACTTTTAGCCCGTTACAGCTTGCAAGGCTTACATAGTGTCGCTTTTGACGCGCAAGATCTACCAAAAACAAGACTTACAGCCAGCCTCGTCGTCTAAAAGCGATTCGTCTCCAGGCGCTTACGACACACCGCTAATTTCAAAGTCTATGAAATTTTCCAATAATAGGTAGCCGATGTGTCGTTCGAAAAGCAAGCAGTGCATCGTATTTTTCAGTTGACAAAAATTAATCTGAAATCGAAACTGTAAAATATGTGGCTATAATTGTAGTTTATGATTGTAAGGAAACCTGACAATCACTCTGCAAATGCGCACTGTGGTCGTTCGCGCGTGGCGCCATTATCTTTGTCGTATCCTCACCTTGTACCTCCATCTCAACTAATAATTTTCCATACCCATCTCATCTTGTACCTCTGCGTCTTGTCTTTCTAATGACATCCCCCACACTTTCTCCCGCGCCGTGGCGACGTCGGGAAATCTTATCACGCTCGAGCTTTAACTCATCCAATCACCCTCTCCAACGCTCTGTCGACCCCATTACAAGCTACAACACTCTTCGCACCAGCAATATCAATTCATCGAATGTATCGTCGTATCCGATACTAGGTCTATCAATGTCGGCAGCTCGTAAGCGTCTACTCAAGGCCATTGAGCGTAAAATTCAGGAGAAAGAAGACTCGTCCAATTTGACGACAGAGTTCCGGGACCCGTTTGCATTGCTGCTGGCGCTTTGTGCCTCATTTCGCTTTGCAGATGCCGCTAGACGTGTTGTTGAAGCGGAGAGAGACCATGCCTCTTCTGCAGTGGCTGAAGGGCTGTTTCTAGTGGCCGCTGCCGTGGGAAATTTCCTCCTTAATATGATGCAGAAGCGTCGCCATCACGCAGAAATGGCCGAGAGAGCTCGAGTTGCAGTGCAGCAGATGTTGCGAGATAGTGACAAAAAGATGAAACAGAAGGAGCAGGACCAAGTGCCACCCGCCTGGCTTGGGTCTGGAACTCAGCCGACGGTTCTCTTGCCGTCGAATAGCTACGTTACGTGCTACAGAGACAATCAATGGCAACGAATGCCTATGAATTTGTTAGTGAAAGGAGATATTGTCGGCTTGATGAGTGGAGATATTGCTCCGGGAAGAGTTCGACCCGTCGAAGTGGACGAGAATGAAGAACAGCCGGTGTATTTAAGAGGATGTAAACTGCCTCCGTGGACTACAAGGCATGCAAAAGACATGACAAGGTGTACAGCAACGTTTGACCCGCCGTTGTTACTAGAGTTGTGTGGTGAGATGCGAATATTCGAAGTGATGGAGACGCCGGTGGTGCGAGATGTTGAAAACGCTCTTTTTCATATTAACAGGCCCGTGACACCGACACAGAAGCTGCAGGCACAAGCAAGACGTATAGCGGTGTATATATGCACGTTATACTCGGCCTTGGTGCTTGCAGCGATTGGACTTCGCGCGGCTGTGCAGCACCGGTCGCTTGAAACTACTCTTACGCACATTCTCCTCGGGCCAATGGGCATTTGGTTGTGTTTCGCCTCACTCAATACACCGTTGGTTCTGTTTGTTGCCGAAGCGGCTGCCACTGCGTCTATCTTAGGCTCTTTTGACAGCATCTTGGTCCCGAATGAATCTAATAAGCAAGTGTCAAAGGAGACTGCAGAAAACGACGATGATTACACTGAGAAGCAAGTACAAGAGGGGACTGTGCCGGACGTAGATAAAGGGACTTCAAAGGCATTTAAGAAAAAAAGGGAAAATAGTACTCGTATCGACAGCGCAATGGCGTCGATTTTAAAAGCGACAGTGCTGGTGCCACCCGACGTTTACGACGTTGAAGACCGAGAGAGACTGCGCTCAGAAAAGGCTCAAAAGCAATCTGCCATTATGCGGTCGCTTCAATACTTTTGGATTGTGCTTCGCTTTCGTATAATGCGCTGTGATCGCGCACATGTGTCTGATTGGCGACATCTACCTGTACCATTCCGCTCTTTTCGATTGCTGGAGCGTTTGGGAAACATCACAATGTTATGTTGCTTCGACGATGATATTTTATGCGAGCAAACGCCGTCCGTGGAGGAGATTTTTCTCCTTAACGACAAGCAGAACAACAACTCGACGGTTCTAGATCTGCATGCTGAGCGCCATTGTGACACTGGACTTAAGTTTGAAGACCCAAAGTGGAAGCAGTACTTACCGTCACTAAAGCCAATCGGGTTAGCGATCATGGTAAACGACAACGAAAACCCAGCACGACATTACGATGAGAATATGCGCTATCTAGTGAATGAAGGGCTTTATTCGGGCGATGATAGAGGAACACGGGATCCATATTTGCGAAGCTGCATGCAGCGTCTATCGGCTCACATTCGAATGCTGCCGTTTCCAAAACATTTGCTAAACCTTTCTCGAGAAATGGGCTTTTCTATCGCTGATGATTTGACGACGTTTCAAAGACGGCAGTCCATTCATATTATCTGTCCTCGACTGGCGCATCATGAACACATGAACGACCACCACGACCAGGGCCAAGAAGATACACGATATCGGGGCAATCTCAAGTCACACCTCTATTCAACAGTGATACTTGACAAGCGTTCACATCGCCATCAATTACTGTCACGTGGCCACCCTACGGTCGCGCTGGCTCACTGCAGCGAATATTGGGATGGTAAGTCCATATGCCCACTGACAAATGAGAAACAACGCGCCATTCTCGATATGTATAACCAATGGCGCGTTGAGGATCTGGAATGCATTGCATTTTCGTACGTTCCTGTCCCTCACAAGCTCAATAATCTCTTTACCCGCAATAGTTCAAGCAGCGATGGCGACAACCTTCTCGACTTACCCGGTGCTGGCTCCACTGGAGCTACGCTGCCACCTGTGTATCTTGTAGATGACAGCACGACCAGTGAATTGAACTCTCCACAGTCGATGGCGAGACGAAATAGCGTGCCATTCTCTAGCACCATGAGTGAAGATCAGGGATACGGACAAGACTGCCGACGCCAAAAGCATTCTATAATGTCACCACCAGCCACGCCAAAATCGATTGACGATTTGGCGGTAGACCAGGGTTTGATCTTAGGGGCACGAGCAGCTAAGTCAACGGGAGCTCCTCCATGCGAGCAAGCAGCACCACTTTCCAGAAGACGTGGAAACTTGACGTTAAGTGACTTTGACCTGTCCACGGGGCAGCAGCCATCCGACACGAGCTCCATTGAGAAAGAGTCAATGCTCTGGCGCATTCAGGATGACCAGATCTTTTTGGGCATGGTTGCAACAGGAGTCCAGCCAAAGCAATATATTCCTGACTTTATTGAAGACTTGAATGCTTGTGGCATTCGCTTCGTGTACTTCTCTCCACGCAATATGCGCAGAAGCAAACTACTTGCCGAGAAGATGGGTATCGAGACGGACTGGAATTGCGCTATATCACTGCGCTCACTTAACAGCGACGGCCCCGACCCTCATCGCATGACTTCAAATTACTCGGATTGGGACGTGAAAGCTCGCCTGCCGCATGGTGTAGACGATATAAAGCGACACCTGGAGGAAGTGGATAATGTGCCATTATTGGTGTCGCTTTATACGGACAGTACGCCAGAAACGATCAGCGAGATGATTTCTATCTTTCAAGAAAACCATGAAGTAGTCATGGGTGTTGGGTCTTCTTTGAAAGAAAGCAACGCACCTCTATTTTCAAAGGCAGATTTGGCGGTGGCATTACAGGGTGGCGTCCAAGCATTTTTCGATAAGCCAATTCCTCGTGGAAAAGAGCTTTCTGTGTTTTCCGACGATGATATTCAGTTTAGTCACATTCTGAACACGCTGGCGTGTGCTTTTCGCCTGAGGAGTGCCCCAGAGGATGCACGAAACTGTACCTCAGATTCTGTGGATAGCAAGGATGATGCCACTACGGGCGCAACAGCTACTGTGGCCCATCTACTCGAACTTATCCGGCTGGGACGGCGCGTGCTTACCAATTTTAATCAGATGAACACATTTATCTTCGTGTCGCAGCTTTTCATCGCCACGGTCATCCTTGCCTCATATGCTATACCTTTTCCGCATGCGCCCCAGCTGAGCTGCTCGTCGATTTTCTGGTTGTTGTGGGTATTGGTGCCGGCACTCAGTCTCTCCATGCTTGCCTCCGTAAGCGAGAAGGACACCATGAAAAAGACTCCGCGCAAGAACGCAGAGTGTGATATGGAGGATGATCTGCCGCGGTTGATCGTCTATTTTTTAATACGCCATGTGCCGTCCGTGTTGCTATCAATTGCCGTCTTTGAGTGCTTGCTTGGTTTTTCTCTTCAAGCGTCAAGCCTTTCCGACCCGAACGCTTTCGGGAGCGGGAGATTTCATAACTTCCGATGGATGGATTTCATGTTTGACAACGAACTAATGACGGTAAGGCCCCGACCAGCTACTGTTGCTGCTGCAATGGATCGCGCTGAAGCCGGTATGCTGCTGTCGATTGGCATCTGTATCGTGGCCTCGTCTTGCGGATACCTATACCGATGCGAGAGTATATTTATAGTATCCCCATTTCAAAACATCATGTGGGTGACCGTAGCGTCCGTGCTGGTATGCTTGCAATTAATACTCAGCACGCTCCGTGCAGGAATCGTTGGTGCCGATGAAGTCCTTCTTTGGCATTTTGTGAGCGAGTCAGTCCCTCGGGTTTTCTGGGTTTTAACTGTGGGCGTGTGGCCACTGGTTATAATATGCGTAGATGAAGCCGTAAAGATGCATGACAAACGGCACCTTGTGCGCTACAACAAGTTCCTTCGGATGCAGTTTGACACGCGTCTTGGCATGTGGAGCCCTAAATAACGAGATTGCACTAAAAACATTGTTATGGCCATAACGTGGCTCAAAGCGCTTATGGTGGTCATTCGGCCACTCTTGTGCTCAGCTTTCAAGCATGGCGTTGTAAATTTGGTTTATCTGAAGCGAAATGTTGTCTGATGGCACTTGCGTTTTAGTGCTGCAGCACGTGCCTTGAAATCCGGTTAGAAGAGCATGCTGTCCTATGGTCTGTATTCTTACAATTCTCTTGCTACGATAGTGACTGGCAAAAAAACGTTGCCATTTTTAGAAGAAAACCATTCAACGCCATTTGTTGCAACTTAGTCGTTGACGCACATTAAAAGCACACATGAGCTTGTTCCCTTTGAAATTAGTTGGTCGAGAAGATGGCATGTCTCGAAGAAGGCCGACGATACAGTAAGACCAAGTGACTGACTGAAAAAGTAGAGCTAAAACTTCAAGCACAACTTGTTGATGCATCTGCGTACCGCATTGTACTAAAATACGAAGCTTTAGCGAAGGCAACGTTGAGATTTAAATGAGAACACAATTTATGTTAATTCCCATTGTCAAATTTACTGGAAGTTACAACTCCACCATCCCTTTAGCACACACAATACTCGAAACGAAGTGCTACTCATTTGTAAGACAATTGACATTCTAAAATTCAATGAAGTTCACAATCCTTTTTAGCCAATAAACAACGCGTTTCATCGCCGCCAGTAAAAAAACACACACTATAATGGAAGCCAAAGTGAGTTTCCACGTACGGCGCTATCTGCGCGAGTGTGAGGAGCGCGGAGCGCATCCAGGAGAGACCGCCGTCACTTCACATTTACGTGAGACATATGCCGAGTATCAGCGCAAGCCTCAGGGTGCACTACGTAAAGTAGTGGCCAAAGTACTGAAGAAAATACAACCAAATCTACTGGAGATCAAAAACCAGGACAAATCGAGCTCCGAAGGCCCCAAACGCGCACGTTCCGCTAGCGACAGCAACAATGAGCAGCAAATCAGGTTGCAGGAACAGCTGCAGGCCGCATCAGGTGCTGGGAATACGCTGAATCGAGCCATTCAGCAGAATTATGTTAATGTAGACAAACCAGTAGTTAAAAAGGTTAAAATTGTACGAAAAAGGATTCAACAGGAGTTTCAGGAATACGAGAATCCAGCAGAAGAGAGTCGAGGCTTTGTAGTGGAACGCCCCACCGCTAGATATAGCGACGTGGGAGGAATTCAGGCCGTTTTGCAGGAAGTTCGAGAACTTATCGAATACCCGCTGACCCATCCAGAAATATACGCTCATTTGGGTGTGGAACCACCGAGAGGAGTGCTGCTTCATGGGCCGCCAGGTACGGGCAAGTCCATGCTGGCTCACGCTATTGCAGGAGAGTGTGGAGCCACGTTCCTGAAGATCTCGGCACCGGAGGTAGTGTCAGGTATGTCGGGCGAGTCGGAACAGAAACTGAGGGAACTATTTGATGAAGCTATTGCACGCGCTCCGTCGATCATTTTTATTGACGAGATAGACGCGATTACCCCCAAGCGCGAAACATCTGCGCGTGGGATGGAGAAGAGAATTGTGGCGCAGTTGCTAACTAGTACAGACTCGTTGAGTTTAGAAAACACCGGAGGAAAACCGGTTGTGCTGATTGGAGCGACAAACCGACCAGACGCACTGGATTCGGCGTTGCGTCGAGCTGGACGGTTCGACCGTGAGATTTGTTTGGGAATTCCGGACGAAGAGGCACGAGAGAAAATTTTGCGGGTGCTGGCAAGGAAGATGACACTTGAAGGAGACTTTGACTTTGCTGCGCTTGCGCGCCGCACACCTGGATATGTTGGCGCTGATCTAGTGTCACTGACGAAGGAGGCTGCGGTTGGAGCCGTGAATCGCATTTTCACAAATATTACCGAGGTAAATAAGGTGGCAGCGGAAATTGATGCGACTAGCGTGTCTGCTGAGACGGAAACGTCGGACACTAGTACTTGTGATGATTTAATGGAGATAGATAGTACTCAGGATAATTTGGTGGAAAAAGAAAACAATGCTGAGAAGACTCGGTCAGCGGCTGATGACTTGCGCGCTCAGGTAGAACCATTCACGGAAGCGCAGCTGGCACCGCTTCGCATCACGATGGTCGATTTTGAAGCTGCGATCCCGAAGGTGCAGCCAAGTTCCAAGCGTGAGGGATTCGCTACGATCCCAGATGTCTCTTGGGACGACATTGGTGCTCTGAGTGAGGTGCGCGACGAGCTATCGCTCGCGATTCTACAGCCGATTGCTCACCCGGAGAGATTTGCAGCTTTTGGTTTGTCCATGCCGGCTGGTGTGTTGCTGTACGGGCCACCCGGCTGTGGCAAGACATTGCTGGCCAAGGCTATTGCCCATGAAAGTGGCGCTAACTTTATCAGCATTAAAGGACCTGAACTTCTGGACAAGTATGTGGGCGAGTCTGAGCGGTCCGTGCGCCAGGTCTTCCAGCGAGCTCGAGCGTCCTCTCCTTGTGTTGTGTTTTTTGACGAACTCGATGCTCTGGCTCCGCGACGATCGGGTGGAGCTGGTGGTGATGCTGGTGGCAATGGCGTCAGTGAGCGTGTCGTGAACCAGTTGCTGACAGAAATGGATGGCTTGGACGGCCGTCGCAATGTATTCGTGATTGCCGCTACGAATCGTCCAGACATTATCGACTCTGCCATGCTGCGTCCTGGTCGCCTTGACAAGCTGCTTTATGTACCGCTGCCTCAAGCATCTGAACGGTACCAGATACTGAAAACGATCGCTGCCAAATGTGCCGTGGCACCGTCGGTTGATTTGGAGGCAATTGCTGGCGACCCTCGCTGCGAGGGCTTCAGCGGTGCCGATCTGAGTGCATTAGTTCGCGAAGCCGGACTTACAGCCTTGCGCGAGACAGATTTCTCAAAACTGGAGATAGATGCTACAGTTGTTTTGGGAATTGAGCATCACCATTTCCTCAGTTCGTTTGATCGCGTATTACCATCGGTTTCACGTGCTGACCAACGGATGTTTGATCGGATGAAGAAGAACCTCCGTAAATCGCGATTGACCCTAGCTAAAGCTCCAGCATTACCGTAGCCTTAAACGAACCTGCTTCTGGCGAAAGAGGTGTTGCACAAGATGACATAGGTGCAATAGCTGACGTTAACATGGCTGAAGGCAAGCACTAGCGATGTAATCGAGGAGATTTGTTCTTGGAACGTTGAACATAGCGATAACTTACACATTTCATTTCTTATAGCTGACTTTAGTAATGGAAAGATGACTTGAACCGAGTCAACTTTCTCGATAGACAAAATGGGCCAATACAAATCGCCTCGGCAATATTTTGGATCCAGAGCTCGACATAAGCGACAGATAAGGTCGAATTTTCGATGGAGTCACATCATCGACCACAAAGTAAATTATATTAAAAAACATTATTCATCTGATAGTGAGTGATATTCAGCAGAAAACCCACCGTCTAATGACACTTGAATGAAGCCACCTGGACTTAGCTAGACTAAATTATTATAAACAATTCAACTTTGAGCAATTCGCGCACGTGCCGAAGTGGGCGATACCGTCAATCTTGGCCTTCAATTCAAAGTGGCGTAGACTCCAACGTCCAACTGTTCAAGCCTTTTTTCTGACCAAGGGACGACTAACTCTTACAATTACAATCGACGGATGCTCGTTTTCCAATGTCGGAATAATCATCAGCCGAGTTCCTATCTGATCTCTGCTGCCATCGATTCAAAATAAGTTCGGATGGTGGGAGAAAGTCTAATATTAATCTGGATTGAAGAGCTTGTACGCCTTAAAAGCTGGCAATCGTTTTATCTGATCTTATCCATGGTACCACCATTGTAACGGGGTGAGCCCGTTACATAATATTGACACTTCATATAAATGTCAATAAAAATATTATTATAACTAGTAATATTTTGACAATATTACCTTTTCTAATAATATTGTTCCTAGATCTCCTTGAAGTTGGAGATGCCCTCTCATTGGTTGATATGGGCCATCATATCAACCAACGCGCTGACCAATGACCGATGGACGCGCGCAATGAGTGGAGGGCAAGTCGTCAACATACATAGTTGTAGTTTAATATAGTTACCAGAAGGTTATAAAAGATTAGTTTTATTAGATAGTTAACTATATCAAATACAGTTTTTCTTTTCCTCTACTTCTAATAATAAACCAATAATAAAATGACGCGCAGTATCCGCTAATCGGATACTGCCCTATGCCTACTTATGTAATTATGTATTAATCCTATAACTACTTATGTAATAGGTAGACCCATTACAGGAGTGGAATAGGTGACTTTAAGCCGGATGCGTCATCCGACTCAACAGAGTAGTCAACGACTAACTCTGGGTCAACATCTTCACGTGGCGAAGCGCTACGTGAACCTGCAACAGGCGTTGCAGGCTAAAGTTGACTTCCAGCAGACACATTAGTGTCTGCTGGCTGAGGCTGTGAAGCCTCAGTAGCGGCTGCACTCAGGCGTGCAGCCGAGCTCTTGGCTGCCTTAGCAGCGACGCGCATTGACTTTGTCATAGCGTAATTGTTGAAATAAAAGAAAATTCGACAAGTTATCCTTTCCCATAGTCACTAACCAGTCACTAATGTGACTGTTGGTTGAGGGGGGGGGGTGATGTAACGGGGTGAGCCCGTTACATAATATTGACACTTATATGAAGTGTCAATAAAAATATTATTATAACTAATAATATTTTGACAATATTACCTTTTCTAATAATATTGTTCCTAGATCTCCTTGAAGTTGGAGATGCCCTCTCATTGGTTGATATGGGCCATCATTCAACCAACGCCTGACCAATGACCGATGGACGCGCGCAATGAGTGGAGGGCAAGTCGTCAACATACATAGTTGTAGTTTAATATAGTTAACATAGGTTATAACAGATTAGTTTTATTAAGATAGTTAACTATTTTAAATACAGTTTTTCTTTTCCTCTACTTCTAAGCGTTTGTTTAGAAGTAAAGCTTCCTCTGCCTCTTGTGTAAGAGAGGTAATTGAGGCACCTGCTTTCACTGTAATCAGTGAAAGTAGATTATACTGTAATCAGTATAGTCGGAGGGTGCCCCATTACAATACTGGCCAATAATTACTTTCATACTTATCAATTTACGTAAGGCAACCTAATTTTCTAAGCAAAGTGATGGGCCTGTATACTGTCAGCGTTGAATTCGCGCACCTTTCCATCGGAACGACGGGTAAAACCCTAGCAAATCGCTGCGTTTAAGATGCCTATATATACTACTTCGCACCGTCGGAACGACAGGTAAACATTCTATCGACCTTCATATTATCATTTCACCTTAGTCAACCGAATATAATTAGGTAAATTGATAATATAAAGGTCAATATACTACTGGCGTAGAGTCGCGCATTAAGTCCGTCGGAACGACGGGTGAGCACCCTAGTATTTATATATTCCCATAATGAAAATGGTGTCAATCTAGTAATTTCCTCTTTTTATCTGTATATAAATTTCTTGTTTGTAAAGGGTGTAAATTTAAGGAAGAAGGGTGTGAATATAGCAGCTCCCTTTTTTATTTCACGCTTTTGGTACCATCCTCAGAATGGTTGTAAATAATATATGCAAGTTATATGAAAAAACGTTACAGTCCGACTTTTTACGACTCATTCTTCGAGATAAATCTTACTGATGGAAAACTTACACGTGGCACGTTCCCAATATTTGTCAAATCCATCCGTATACAAACCTCATATATAATGCCTTTTTCAGTCGTTACAACACGTCCTGCACTATCAAAGTTACATACACCTCTAAAAAATGCGCGTATTTGTCCTCGTCGCAGGCGTTCTGTGCGCTTTCTGCACTGTTAATGTGCGTGAGTTTCTCTATCTCGTATCTCTATATAAACTCTGGTTGATTGATTCCATCCCACCAGCGGTTGAGATATCTTCATTTATCCACAAATAATCTAATTAATATCTGTATGATTATATGATTATCCAGCACGTAGCGGCTACTAGTGACACCGTTACAAAAGCCCGCGTAGCTGCAGATAATGCATTTGCCAGTGGAGATATGAAGATGGTGCGATTTCAAGTGAAAACTAGCAGAAACGTTCCAAACGAAGGCTAATTTTGCTCACAAATTACCCGTTTTTAGGCCATTTCTCTGCTGTCCAAACTCATTGAATTAGAGCCTACAAATGAGCGCAATTTCTACAAACGATTCCGAGCTTATCTGAGTGAGCGTAAATACACACACGCTCTATCGGATTTGTCGTCGTCTTTAAACGTGAACCCCAAGTATAAGCAGGGAATGCTACAACGTGGCAAACTCTTAATGATGCTGGGACAATGTGTCGAGGCCTCTGAGGATTTTCAGCATCTCGTTGAGTACGTTACAATTTTGGATTTTATCGTTTATCTGTTTCGATGTTTTTGTTTGTTTATTGATAAGGCTACTATTCGATTGGAAAATCAGATTGTATCCAAAGGATACAGTGGGCATTGAGCAGCTGGACAAGAGCAAAGAATGTGTTTCTTACATGAACGAAGCAGAGCGCGCTCATAGTCGTGGTGACTATCAGTCGGCATATGATTCCTTGACCCACGTGCTGGAAGGTTCGGCTATATCTAGTGTACCACTGTTACTGGAACGGGCGCAACTTAGTGTGTCATTGCAGAACGCGTACGATGCAATTTCGGACCTCAGTTCCGTTCTCAAGTTGGATCCGTCCAATCTAGTCGCGTTGCAGATGCGTGGTGAAGTGCTGTACTCGCTTGGAGACAAGCAGTCACTGGAAGCAGCGCAATTGCACTACCGTCAGGGTTTGCACTCGGATCCGGAGCACAAGGGCATTAAGGCCCTGTACAGGAGACTGGAAAAGGTTTTTAAGTACGTGAACCGTGCTGAGGACGCCATGCAGCGTGGAGCTCATGGCGAAGCTGTGAAGGAGTGGCAGTCGGCTTTGGAAGTACATCCGGAACACTCTGCAATGAACAAAGAGTTCTATCTGCAGTTATGTACGAGCGAGCTGCGTCTCAAACACTTTGCCAAGGCCCGTGATGCCTGTGAGAAGGTTGTGAGCTTTGACAACGACAATGCACAGGCCTTTGCAAAGTTGAGCGAAGCGCAGATTGGTCTTGAGCTATACGATGATGCTGTGCGATCAGCAAAGCGCGCTTTGAAGCTGGACGACTCGAGTCAAGGGTTCAAGAAGAAGGTGGCTCAGGCCGAGGCAGCTCTAAAAACAGAGCAAACCAAAAATTACTACAAGATTCTTGGTGTTTCACGCAGGTCCGATGCGAAAGAGATCAAGAAGGCATACCGCAACAGGCGCTTGAGTGGCATCCGGATAAGCACACTGATAAGGATGAAACAGAGCGCGAGGAGGTGCAAAAGCGATTTCACGACATTGCAGAAGCCTACGAGATTCTATCCAATGAGGAAACGCGTGCCATGTACGATCGCGGTGAGGATGTCACAGGCAACCCGCAGCAGCAGCAGCATAACCCCTTCAGCAATGCGCACACTTTCCAGCAGGGCGGCCGCACCTTCCACTTCAACTTCGGAGGTTAGGCGAACGTTTTTTGGAATGTGCATATGTGCTGGTTGTATTGAGAGACATCTGTGGGGACTATATGGGAGGAGCTGGACGGAACAGTGACGACAAGACAGAAACGGAGCGTCAGAAGAAACCCATTAAGTCTTGGACGACGGTCAGCTCTTGATAAGTAATGGTTGGTGTTCGTGCACCTACTGCTTAGACAGTGTGTTTCACAAGGACGCCGTGTGTTATGTAGCAACTTATTGGCTCAGCTAGACCAGAAATGGGTCATAGTCATTTGGTTTAAGCCTCACCTGTCTTTCTCTTCTGTACCTTTGATTTTTCCTGTGTCTATGCATCAGAATGCTTTCGCAGCGGCCTCGTTCGTTCTGATTGGATCTACGGCGCACATACCCACAAGATTTCATGAGAGTTACTCAAGATTATCCCGTACGAGGCTGTCCAGATGACGCGAAAACTCGACCTCGCAGCACAAGAGTATTCTGTTGTAGGTCTGCCTCTTTATCCCCATGATAGGGCTAGCAAAGAGATTCAGTTACTACGGCTTCTACTAGCTAAAGAACTTTATGCGGGACATCCGATGGAGTCTTGTACAACATACATC